AAAATTACAAACCACAAACATAGAGCTATATGTTTTATGACAAGTTAGCAATTGGATATTCATATAAAATTGATTTTGCAATTCACTATCCCAGTTCCATCCTACCATTCAGACCATAGCTACAATGTAAACAATCAAAAATTAGAAAACAAGTTTCAGGAAAATTAGCAATGACATAAAGAAATTTGAACAAGTTTAACTGTTGACAATGTATTCAAAAAACCTATGTTTAAGATAACATAAGGATGTGCCCAAGTAGATAAGATTCATCCACCATCTAAAGCTAAGGCTAACAGGTCTCATTCATCACTAAGAATGAAAACGTTAAATCAATAAGCCAAAATATAATAATAATAATAATAATTAACAACAATTCTAGTTTAGTTCATATCATTTCCAAGTGTCTAGAAACCACAGTTGCAAACAGAAACCATTCCAAAGAACAAGCTGACAATGTATAAAGAATTAGATTAACAAGGCTCAACCGCAAGAAACAGAGTCCATGGGCCACGAAAAGCTCTTAATATAGAGCAAAGGTACTAAACTCTCATACCATTACTTAGTATACATTTTGAAGATTGCACTCTTCCACTAATATTACCACAAAGCATTCCATATGATATACAGTAGTACCTTGTATAATTTCATATATTGACATTAATATAACTGGCGCTGGAAAATCTAACACATAACCAAGCCACAAAGTGATAAGAACTAATTCAACTCCACAAACATTCAAGTTAAATGCACATCAATGATACCAATTGGACATCTTAAAACAAAAGGCATCACCATCCAAATAAATACAGATTCAAAATCAAATTTTAGAAACAGAAGTCCAATTAGTACAATTCCCTTCATCATAGAAAGCAGTAAATAGTACCGTCCAATTATGAGTCTTCGCCAATCGCCGGGCAAGCGCATGAATGCAATAAGCAACATCTGCTCGAGGCCGAATGGCTGATGTGGCAATGAAGATTTCTACAACAACAAAAAATTCAACCAAAATCCTCACATATTCAATCCAGACATCGAAAACCCCAGGAAATTAAATTGGATCTGTAAATTCACACTTAAAAATCCCGAAAAAAAAAGAAAAGGAAACTCACTTCGAAGATGCCTTTCTTTGGGAGGACACTCGACATGGTTGGTAGCTTTAACTATGGCCACATCCAAATCCTAATTATAAACATTTCAGAGAAACAAATCAAATCGAATAAAAATTACACACTAAATATAGAAATGAGATCTTTCTCAAAAAAAAAAGAGAGAAAGGAAAAAAATTACCGCGTAATCACTGTTGACATGAGCGAGACCGACTTTGGTTGTATCTTTAAGAGCGCCATACGCTTTTCTCCATGTTTGAAGAGTCCCCATTTGTACCCTCTAACCGCTCAGATCGCTCAACCCAAAAAAAAAACAAAAAATCTCCGCCTCCTTCTTTCTCTCTTCGATTTTCAATTTCCTTTCCCTTTTTTTCTTCAATGAATTACGTGTTGCTTGGCCCTTGATTTTCTTTCTTTTCTTCTCTTAACTTTCTCTCTCTCTCTTAGAGAACGACAGACGAAAGAATCGATCAAAGGCAGAGGAAAGAGAGAGTCTCTAAAAGATGGGCTGTCGCTCAACGCTGATCGTTCTTGATTGACGCTTCCCTGTAAAACAGTAGACTCCCTCTTTTTTCTTTTTCTCTTTTTTTCCGAATTAATTTTTTTTTTTGTTTAACAAATTTCGGTTTCCTTTTTATCGATATAAATTTTTTGAGGAGGGGGATCTATTGGCTTGAAGTTGGAGGGCTTTTGGCGGCCCCCGCTCTTGTTATGCTGTCATTATTATTTTTTTAATACGTTAAAATTATATGATATTATATTAGGATTATTTTATGGACCGCCATCCTCTAGATTTATTCTACTTTTAAACATGGCTGCTAAAACAAGGAAATATGTTGGTCAACAGGCTTTTAATCTTTAATTATATTGCATTATTTCATCGGATAGTATTAAAATTTTTTTTATTTTTTATTTATGACTAAGTAAAAGGGGCAATTTATTTTATTTGCATATATTATTTTCTTTATCTATAATTATTTTCTTAAATATTCTAAAATTATGTTTTTTAAATACCAAATAATTTTTTTCATGAACTTTTTACTCTTTGGTACTAAAAATCATTAAAGATTAATTTTATAAAATTTTTAAAATAATATAAAATACATTAAAGTTGCAAATTTTTTTCATAATCTATTTGAGAGTCATCAAATAGGAAAGAAAATGGAGGAAAATAGTTGAAATGTCCAAAGATAAAATTTGGTACTTTAAATATTAATATTAAAGTATTCAAAAACCTAAAATCAATTTTAAGTATCTAAGTGTAAACAAAAAAAGAAGGGAAGGAAGGGAGAAGAAGCAACTTGTGCGTCGGACAAAATGATCCTTGGTGCTGACAATAAAGCTTATAACTATATGTTAAACACTTAAAAAATTTTATTTTAAAAAATTTACCTTTCCCCCTTTCATGTCTTTTTATCACTTATATTTATCTTTTTATTTTTTTAAATTTTATCACTGATAATATAATAAAAAAATAATTAAAATTATCTCATATTGGATATAAATTTGATATTAAAATTATCTCATATCGGATATAAATGTGATTATTAAAATTTATACAAAAATTTAAACCAATCATTATTGACTATTAAAAATTTGAACTTAAATCTCTTGAAAAATTATTAAACAAGTTAAATTTACTTTAAATTAAAATAATATTTATATTTTGTTATCGAGCAAAATTTAATTTTTAAATTAATATTTTTTTAAAAAAATTTACATTACTTTTATTTTCGTTATACATATAAAAAGTACAAAAAAAAAAAAGAGAATCTTGAACTTTATCTCAATTCTTTTTACTTGAGACAATAATTTCATATTACTTTTAAAGATTAATTATCATAAGTTGCTATGAAATATATATAGCGAGGAAGAAAAATGGATAATGAAACAAAACTTTAGCAAATTCAAATAAAATAGAGTCCAATCTGTTGAAATTGTGCCAGCCAACTTGGTGGCTGTTGTTGTTGTAATTGTGGTAATTATACACTACCAAACCTTCGAGTTTGTATACTTTGTTTGGTTAATTAATTGGTACTTTGTCAAGATTTTATTTACTTTGTTAGTATTAGTATTGTTAGTTGGCAGTGTGCAAACATGCGCATAAAAGAGGAAAGAGAAATTGAGAGACGCAAACAAGCTGTTTGGAACCGAAAGCAAGACCCCATCCCCATGTAAAAGTCAGAAAAGAAATCTATTCTCTGCAAATTCTCCATAATTCTCTGTCCTCTGTGAGTCCCCATTGTTAACTCTGACCAGAAAAAGAAAATAAAAAAAATAAAAAAAGAAGGAAATGTGACCTTATTATTTCTCTCGATAATGGGTTAAAAGAGGAGGATTCATTATCTTGGATCCCGATGAGCATTGGCATCATTAAAACAACCCTTTGCCTGATATTTTACAATGTTCTAAACAAAATTAATTATTTTATTTTTCTATGTTTATTTATGTGATAAATGTAAGTGTTTTAATGTTTATTTAAATTGATTTGAAAAATAATTTATTTTTTAATAGTTTAAGAAATGAAAGTAAAAAATGTGTAGCATAAAAATAATACACTCGAATAAATGAAATGTATTTAAAATGTTTACTTATTTTGTATGTAGTGTACTTATCTTATGAGAAGGGTGATATCATACATGGAAACTTGATGCTTAACTTTATTTTTTTATTTAAGTACAATTGTTTAGGCTAGGGATTAGAAATAAATTTTTTGTTAGAACAATAAAAACCCTTGTAAAGATTTATATATTATAACTATCATTAAAATGTACCATCTTATTAATAAAGTATATACCTCATAAATTAAAAATTATTAAAATAAATACGTTATGTCAAATATTTAACAAATATATATGAGCCTGACCCCAAATAATGTCCATGATCATTACCAAATTTTATCAATTAAACTATACAGTTAAGGCTTGAACCCTCTTGAGAAAGAATAATTCAAAGTCAAACCTTCATTCTTTTTAATTATACTTTAAAAAGAAAGAAAGAAAGAAAAACCATTAAGACACTATCGTTTTTTACTACACAAAGCCATGCCCTTCTCCACATTATTTGCCAGATGACCAACCTCTGTCAAATCATGAAATGATCAAACTTATCCTTTTCTGATTCTTTTTCCTTTCTTTTTCCTGCCTGTCGATTATCACATTTGAATGCAAATATTTCGGTGAAATTTCAGAGGAAACAGAGATCAATGTTCAAATGTTAATGCACTCTATGAGGGAAATCATTTCGCTCTGATGCAATTCTAGCTTTGGAAAGCCATAAAGTTACTTTTAGTCCAAACCAAATAATCAAGAGCATGACTTGTTTTGAAAGAAAACAGTAATACAGGAAAGTGGCGGGGAAACGAAAGTATTTCTTTTTTCATTATGTCTTGTATTGTTGGGTTTTGCCATTTTGGTTTTCCTTCCTTTCTATTATCTACTTTTTTGTTTATTTGCTTTCAAAGTTTTAATGTAATGATAACAATAGAGATTTAAATAATCTAAAATCTCCATCCAAACTTGGCCATCACCTACTATAAATTAAAATCAACAGTAGAAAAGCAAATTATTTTTAATATTTTTTTTTACTTAAATATAAAAATTACTGCAAAGCAATATCAATGCACTTGTTGTTTATACAATTGTACAATGCTCTTTCCTAATTTACAAAGGCCAAACTTCTCATTTTATAATATTTGTAACATATTTCAAGGGAAACATCAATTATTACTAAAAGATACTGCAAAAATTTTCAACTTAAACATCTCAAATTCAAATCTTTAAATAGAGGTATTAGTTTCAGTACACTTGTTTACTATGGTGTTGTATTTATTTATTTATCCTATATACTTTGTTTTGCTGCTGACAGGTATTGATCTCTCAAATTTTGCAGTTTCTGGGATTTGTTTCACATGGAATTTCAGTTTCTGTCTCTCAAAACCACACTCAACAGGATCAAGAAACCCCACACCACAGGGATGGAGTTTATTCATAACATTTGTTACAATTGTCAACACACCAGCTGTAATAAAGGACAACAACAATTATACTTTTCACATTGCCTCACTGAAATCTGTTGAGAGATTCACCAGCTCTCCAACAAAGAGTCCATTCTCCAAAACCCAATCCTCAATCATAGCCTGAGAAATCAATGCCTGGTCAGCAGGCATAAGATGTCCAGCCCCTAAGACCACAACATTGGTCAAATTACTGTCCCATTTTTGCACATACCCGGAAAGCTCACCACTCACTCTCCATATCTTTCTGTCAGCCATCAAGAACCTCTCAATTCCCTCCCATTTCATTGTTTTCACCCATGCCTCATTTGACACTGCACCAAATCTTACATCATAGAATCCTTGGTACAACAACACTCTGGTCTTTTTCACCAAAAATTCCACCATGTACTTTACACTCTTCATCATATCTTCATGCATTGCAGCATTTACAATGCCACTGCAACCCTCAAATATGATTGATTCATCCACTCCTAACGCTTTCTTTACCTCGTCTATGTTGAGAAACTCGGTTACTATACTTGTCTGGTAAGGCATTTTCCTTGTGAAGTCATACAAAGTGGCCAAACCTGTCATGCTTGCCAACATATGCATTGCCTTATTTCTAGCATTTGTCGCCTCACTCCAATTCCGCACCTTAACCAACTTAATTGCCTCCCATTGTGCTTCCTCTAGTTCATGTTTTTGCCTCTCATTGATCAAACCGGAATAATAAGCATTAACAGCATGAGTAGCAACCTGAGTTTCAGGGTCCGTGAACCCATCACCTATAGCAACACCTTTCAAATTCACTCTTTCTGAAGCTACCAATTGAGAATTTTTCTTCAATATGTAATATCCAATTGCGGGAACATATTTTCCTGCATAGCTTTCCCCGGTAATGTAAATTGGACGATGCTTAAACAAAGGGTCTAATGAGATAAACTTTGTTATTGCAATGAAAAGATGCTTAGCAACAGAAAGTTGGTCCCTAGGAATTTCTTGAGGCGTTGAAGCTATACTAAACCCTGTTCCAATAGGATTATCTAGAAAAAGGAGACCAAATAAGCGATTCCAAGAACCTGAATTGGGCTCAAGAGACAAGTGTTCCACGTTTTGACTGTAAGAAGAAACAACGCGCCAGGGTCCTAGCTCGAAGAAGTTACCGATCATGGAGGAGCAGCCAGGGCCTCCTTGGAGCCAAATAAGAAGTGGGGTTTCGGAAAGGGGTGAAGTGGGGGTTTGGGCTTCGTAGAAAGTGTAGAAAACGGCAGAATCGGTGGCAGGATTGACTGAGAGGTAGCCAGATTTAGTAGGGAGGGCTTCTTTGGGGAAGAGAGGAGTTGAGGTAGCGTGACGCAGGAAGAAGAAGATGAAGAAGCAAGCTTTTCTCGTTGACTCCACTCCCATTATTGTTAGAAAAGCTAGCAAATGACAGAGAAATTTGTTGATTGTTTTGAATAATATTAGTATGCGGAAGTGAACGAATCTTTTGGCGTTGGACAAACCTGCGGCGGTCCTACTTGGCCAACGACGGGAATATTTAAAAATGCCAGGCCGCTCCGCCGAACCTTCTGCAAACAAAATCAATGTGTATGCGTGTGTCCGCTTTTTCCCTTATATCACCGTACTATAATGTATTGAGCAATTGAAACTGTGTTTGATCCTTATTGTCAAATTTGATTGCAAACACATTATCAAATAAGGTATTATGGATATATATTTCTCATTATAGTATTTGATTTATACTATTAGCATAACTCATACCCAGTTATGATGTGAAATATATTTCGCAGCCTGATAATTAATAAAAGGAGATAATCACAAATATCATAATTTTTACACATGTTCCTATTCATCACTTTAAATACAATGACACACACCCACATGATAAAAATTTACTACAATTATTTATTAATAGACAGGGAATGACCTTGATCACATCATAACAAGCAAGAAGCTTCAAATTAACATGTACAAACCATATCACATCTAGACATAGTAATGGCAACTGAAACTAATGTATTTACTTGGAGTGTCCTTGGAAACCATTCATCCTGTTATCATATATGTAACTTCACGTCCATTCTTGAATCTATTTTCACATGATGAGGTCATCAATCAGAGGTGTGCTGAATGGTAGTTTTATAACTCCAGAAGCCACTAGGAGAGAAAAGGTCCAAATTGGGAGGAACCATTGAAGCACAACCAACAGAATTCTTTTTCCTGCAGAGCATTTGGCAAAGATAAAACTATTATGAGCCCAATCATGAAAATGAAACTTAGAAGTCCCTAAAGGGGCACTCTTTGTTAGAAGTCGAGACTGGTACTACTGGGCTGTTCCAAGGTTAATATAATAAAAGAGGAGGGTAGGTTGGGGGTTTTCCATATCAGATAGAAGAAATTGAAGGAAGAAAGCAGCACTCAACCATTACAACCTCTGCTCTTTTTTTTTTCTTCTTTTTCTTCGTTTGTCAATTGTCTATGAACAAAATAGAAGGTGCATTTTCAACTTTGGTGTTTCTTAATTCCAAAAAAAGCTGTATATTTATAGACAATGAAGAACATAGTTAACATGGTAGGATCTCCATCATGTATGCTACTGCACAAAATAGAAGATTTTCTCTACATATTATTTATCTGAATCTCCTTTTTTGAGAGATTATAAGAAGTATTATTAATAAAAGAGGATACAATATCCATCATGGCATAACCGACCAAAACCACCCAAAAGGACTTAAACCGAAGCTTAGCATCCCTGCATCCAGTGAAGATCAAAACATAAACCCAACGAGACAAAGTAACCAAAAGGGCGGTCCCTATTTACAGAGTTCACAGGATTGTAGAAGCAGTAAGGATTTCCTTAGCTACAATTTATCTGAATCTCTACCCCATGAAAATACAAAAATAACGGAGGAAATGTATATTTAGTAAGATACTGATGTTGAGACTATAGAACTGAGGTTATAATCTACTATTGGGAAAATGTAAGGAACAGCAAGCAACACTACAAATTGTCTCGGAATGAGATGTAGACCTGCATATTTTGGATGTGGTTCTTAATACAGGCATAAACTCAAGCACTATAAGTTTGAGCTTTGTAGTTGCAGGGTAAATGGAACTAAATTTTTTTGTGAAAGAAAAGATAAAAGGGTAAATTTCTCTGTTCAGAAACTAACAAAGTAGGCAATAACATCTGAGTCAACTACATCAGTTTCTATTGAGTTACTTGTTTATGGAGTTCAATTTAGTCAACAATTTAACATCCAAAATATTAATCACACAGTTCACATTGAATTTCTTGGCCAGTCATGCATAGTGCATACTGTGTGTGTATATTAATTAGACTTTCCCCCAAGCTGAAAGAGGAGAAATGATAAATATCATATTGTAATCTCAACTTAAACATCAACTTTAGTAACAAAAGTTATCTTCATACTCAATTGCACGACCTTTAACTTTTTAAACATAATCCAATCATTTTATCAGTTAGAGAAAGAAATTCATATACCGGAGGAACGAAAGGTTGCTTCAGTTCTGCTACCAATCCACTCCCCAGTCTCGCGGAGCTTCCTCTCAATTTCTCCTTCAAATTTACCACCAGTAATTGGCAAAAGCCCATCAAATACCGTTCTCCTCCTATGCTCCAAATCACTGATCATGCTTAACAAAAGAAACTGGAATTACCAACCCCATTTCAATCAACTTTATTCTCAACTTCCCATTAGGAAAAAAACATAGAATGAGAGACGCAACATCAAAAGAGGAAATTGTAAAGAACATGATTGACAGACAGGACAAACAAACCATATTCATAAAATGATGAATGAACTTTTTGTGTCATTGGAAATACAAACATCAACACCAGTTACAAGATTGAGAAATAGTTAAAAGAAAGAAAGAGCTGAGAATTAACATGCCTGGAGTCGGCGTCCCGGAAGGAGCCTGCACCAATGGCACGTTCAATTTGGATGATTGAAGGAGGCTGCGGCTTTTGTTGGTGCAAACGTTGTCTCCTTTTTCTGGGTCGAGTTGTAGTTCTTGGTTTAGGATTTGATTTGACTTCTTGGGGAGGAGACGGGTTGTTGGTAAGAGACGCAAAGGGATGAGCAACAGCTTTGGGCACGGAAATGGAAGTGCAAGATAAGCAAGCCATGCTATTTTGGTGTCTGTGTTTCGTGTTTTGGTTGTGTTAGTTAGCTCTGCTGACTGTCAACGGATAACTTACAAAACTACCAAACTGGCTGGCCAGTGATGAAGCAGAAATATCTCCAAAAGATATTAAGGTACAACATTGGAAGTAGTAGGTACACGACCTCAAAGAATTATCGCCAACCCTTGCAAGCCTATGTACGGGCGCGGCTATTATCTTAAACCAGTCTTAAATCTTTTCTATTGCCTGTCGTTACTTCTATAGTTTTGACATATGATATAAGACAAACATTTTCCCATTTCATACTCGCTAACCATTTGGAGACACCACCAATCGTTGCCATGATAAGATGTTCTCTTGCTTAAATTATTTGGAAAAGATTTCTCCCCATTTCAAGATGAGGGAATTTGGGATAACGTTAACCTTGCATAGCTGCGGCTATAACATGTTTCCAAAGGTATACAAGATGTTGGTGCCAAAGTAAACAGAGGCTGCAGCAGAAATTCCGACACACACAAATCGGCCGGATTGAACCGACCATCAGATCATTAATGCTAAACGCCATCACCATAATGTAAAATTCTTCATTACCGATTCTCTTATGACCGTTTCATTGTCATATATAGCTTACAAATGTAAATATTTGCTGCTTTGGTAGCGCAGCAATCAGTTGATTTCTTGAGGACGAAATCTATTTACCATCAAGGGCTTTCAAGAGATCGACATGAGTTTCAAGTCCAAATGGAGTGGGATAAATGGCAAGGAATTGAGCACAAAACTTGTCACATAGACAATATGGGCTTCCAATGTAAATTACACCAATGTGATTTTTAAAACTTCAATTTAACTGGCTCCAGAATAGAACAAAAATGATATACAAGATATGTACAATGGCCCAGAGAACCTAATACTCAGTCTTGCCATCATACCGGCAGATTCCTCAGTAGACGAAGTGCGCGTGTCCAATGTGATCTTTGAGATAAAACAATCCTCCTTAATGCTGGCACTGCTCCAGCAGCTATGATTGCTGAATGATTCTCACTGTCCATGCTCAGATTATACAGTATTGATAAGGCTGCTTCGACCGCCCTCTCACTCCCTTCTTCAATAAGCTTCACCAGTGGAAATATACCCCCCTCAGATGCAACAGCTCGAGTCGAATCCACCACCCCTTCAGAAATTATTCTGTTAAGTTCAACAACAGCAGCTTCCTGTGCTTCTGGAGAAAGACACAATTTTATCTGCTCTAAAAGTCTTGGGATTGTCTCATAAAGAGTTACCTCCATGTTGACTGGGTTCTCAAAATCTACATTAGAACCAGAAAAAGAGCTCAGTTTAACAAGGCAAGCAGCAACCCAATCTTTGCTGTGAAGAGGGATATCTGACTTGAGGATTTTGCAGAGTAATTTAGTGAAATGGTCCGAATCTACTTTTTGGCAAAACTGCTCAGACTCAAGAAGTTTGGTTAGTAGCCTTGATGCTGCAGAGACTGCTAGGCCAGCTTCCTCAAGTTCAAGAGCATATTTGTCAAGTTCCTGACCTTCTACATCAGCTTCCATGTCTGCCAAATACCAAATGTATTGCTAAAACAATCTGACTATAAACACATTGTCTATTAAATAAAATTATCCCATGCTATTAGGGAAGGCATTAAAACTAGGCCCAGGTACCTCCAAATGAATGTACATGTTGCAACTTTCAAAAGGGGGGGAAAATTATTTGATACTTCACAAATCATTCCAAATGAATCTACATGAATGAACTAATTGATACTTCACAATCATTTCAAAGAAACTTGTGCCTAAAAGCAATTGGAACTATTCCATTTCAGTGTATTGTGTTGTTTACAAGAACAGATGCAAGAAATATTTCTTCGGTTACGAATTGACAAGAAAATTCTGGTCAATGAAAGCAAGAAACTGAAATAGTGTTACAACAGAAATGAAAGCATGAAATTCTCATTTCAATTAACTTAACAATTAGATTCTTTATCGCTATATCAAATGCTATGATGCTCAATTGCATGTAGAAGTGGACAGCAACATCATTATTGTTGGTATATACCTTCACTAGGTTAAACTGTGGAGAGTCAAACATGATAAGACAAATTTTTATTAATCCTTTTAAACATGAGGAATATGAAAGTTGTTATTTTGCAGAGTCTTCTTTGGAGCATATCACTCAAACTTGCAAATGCATAGGAAAAGAACTGCAATTACCAGTGCATTCAAAAGGCAGAAGGCACGAAATTTCTGGAAACGAGCAATCTCTTTCTTTAATAAGTAGAGTTGCAATTGCCAATTGCCAAAGTGGAGACAAAAAAAAAATGGTAACCGGCTTGCAGTAAAGTCCTTTTTAGATGGGGCAAAAGCAAAATGCACATGCAAGAGAGCGAGAGAGAGTGAGAGAACTCCCTCAAAAGTAGATGGTGAGATGCATTTACATTCAAAAAGAAATAAAAGAGAAGCATTGGACTCAGTTGCAAAGAATCAGCTACCCACAAAATGCCCAAAAGAAATCCTATCAACTATAATTTATATCTAAAGAAAGATACTTGAAATTTAGACTTTAAAAACTGTGTCGCTTTTGTTAACACCATAACTAATACCCATGTGGAAATTGCAGATTGAGCAACAAGAACTTAAAATTCGAACGGAGTTTCAATTTGCTTTGAAGGTCCATAACCTAAAATCAAAGGAAAATCTAAGCAAGAGGACCTAAATTTGGAATACAAATCCACCTTATTGCATAATGATAAAACATAAAATATTTCTCTTTTCTATGGACCTCACTTCCTAGGCAGCTGAACTGCTTATATTTGGAACTAGAAAATGTTTTCTCGTTTTCCACCTATACGAGGAAAACAAAGAAAAACTTAACTGAAAGGGGCTAAATTTGGAATGAGAATCCACCTTAACTCTACAATGGTTAAAGCATCAAATAAAACAACCAGAAAAGGTTCTCTTTTTTTTGTGGACCTTCAATATCCCGGACAGCTAAACTGCTTGTTATTAAAACTTGAAAATGTTCTCTTCCTTTTCGACTACACTAGCAAAACACAAAAGAGGATAGGGTGAAGACATATCCACCTTCCAAAAGCATTATTTTGTTTCAAGCCCAAATAAGGTACTTCTCTACAGCTTAAGAGTTTCAACTAAAAGAATTATTACCCTTACCTTTTAGAACTTTTTGTTGAAAAACAGCATCCAGACCAGATAATATATCAACTTTCATTATTGTTTCCATGCTTGGTTCAATAATTGTCATGAATTCCAAGATAGATGCTGTCTTTCTTTGCAGGTTTGACGATGATGTCTTCAGAATCTCAATAAGGCGAGTAATGACAGCAGAGTCGAGCAATTCTTTCCTATAAAAGGTTTCCAAGATATACAACTGGTCAGTGTAACTTTTAAGAACCTAAGGGTTCAACATGAATATACTCAAACATGAAACCTTTTGTAGTGAAACAAAGCCTCAAGGAGAAAAAAACAGCATAAACTAATTTCTTTTTCTTTCATTTCAAGAAACAAAAGAAACCAACAATTGACTGAGATGTATATATTCTCGCCAGAACCACCAGCAACCTTAAAATAGCCATCTTTGTTTTTGATTTTTAGTTCTTTTTCTCCAAACCATTTATTGTGTGGGGAAAGAGAAAGTAGAGAATAGAGGGAAAACAGAGGGAAAGGGAAGGAATCAACTTAGGGAGAAATTAGAGGAAATTGAGGAAAGAAGAGATAGAACCAAGAGGACTAAAAGAGATAAAACTTCAAAACCTTGCAGTACCATGAGAAAGGGATCCACATAGAAAGAGAGAACAACAAGAGGCAAACATCAATAAGTTGGCCAATTGGTTCTCTCCATGTTTTTCATCCAGAGTAAGCAATCATTTAGGGACAAACAACAATAATCCAATAGTAAACACCACATAGGAAAGGACGGAGGCCATAATGATGAACTATCGGTTTTAAAAGAAACATAGATAACAGAAGGAAGAGGAAGAAACCTGGATTCCATTATTGACACAGGCCTGTCTCCAGTCAATCCAACAGAAGCATCAAGCCTCCTTGAAGCATCTAGACCTTGTTTTGAACCATTAACTGGTCCATCATAGAACTAGAATGCAATAGTATGTAAGTCAATAGAAAAATCCAGGGCAAAGTACATGTCCACTATCTGTGGCTGTCCTGTTTTGTTCAAACCTCCTCTCCGTGTGTGTCTGTGTTTTGAACACTTTGAACCATTAAGGTTGCTTTGTCACTGGCAAGGAGTTATGATGTTAACCTTTTTAATAAGACAGCAAATATTAATAAAAATGCAAAAGTATCTTTTAATTAAAAAGTTAACACCATAGGCCCTGCCATTAACAGAGGACACCTCAAAGGGTTCAAGCCTCAAGAACAAACTACAGATGTAAAATTGTATTTTTCTCATTTACATGGAGATGCAAGAAAGGATTCACTAACCTTTGATTTCATTTCTCTACTAGGGTCTAAAATCCTAGCAAGTATATCCAAGGTCTGCAGTTCAGCAATAATCCATGTCATAACCATTATCAAACTAGAATTATTCCAAATTATCTCTTGAGAAAATAAAGATAGACTGTACCTTTTCCATCAAGCTTTCAGAGATCTCCGAGTGCTTCAGCATACTGACTAAAGGATGTAAAATACCTTCAGTTTCAAGTACCTGACAAACACCAGAGCTGCAGCAAGAAACTTCAGAAACAATTTATCTGATTTAAGAATTGAGATATCAAGCATAGAGATGATAATACTTTAACTCCAGAAACTATAAATCATTACACAGGCATGATGCTCAGTGTTCAATAAAGAAAAAAGGATCCATAACACAGCTGAGGCAATATGAACGGATACCAGTATCAATACCCACAAAGCAAATCAAGATATCATGCAGAAAAATCTGTGTGTGTGTGTGTGTGTGCGCGTGTGTGTGTGTGTGCGCGCATGTGTGTGTATAGAATAGCGGATGTATTATTCACATGTAAAAGGGATGGAGAGTCATCCCCAAAATACGGCAAAAGCTATGGATGAAAAAAATGTTCCATAGCAACCCATATCCATCAAACCATCACAGTCCAATACAATCCAGAATCACCAGAAGCAAAGCACAGAAACCACAGAAACCACAAAAACAAAAAACAAAGCCCCTGTACAGACCCTTTTGCAAGATATGGGGAGGACAAAAAAATGTGATCAAAGACTATACAGATCCATCCATTCACAAGAAGTAGAAAAGTAGAAAACTGAAAGCCATATCCTAGCAGTCCACACTTCCCCAGTGAACAAGCAATTAAACACATTGAGTATGCAGGAAGCAGCGACAAGATAAAAAACATTACGTGCCATTTATCCCTTCATGAAGTACCCATAAGAGATCATCAGTTCTCATAGTCCCGGCTTTAGCCAGCTAATCAGCCAGGTCATTTGCCAACCGCGGGATTTTACTGATGCTCCAGTTCACAACAAAATATTAAAATTTAAGACTAGACCCACTCTAGTGGGACAATCAAGAGATTACAGACATATATAGACCATTCATTATAGTTAATTAAGCAAAGAGACCAGGCATGTAAGCTTGCTTCCATATCCAAACAGTAACCCTGGGAGTTATGTTTATACAGAGGGTTTAAGAAGCATCTAGGAGAAAGCACCAGAAGGCTCACTAAAAACTCACACATCAGAATTTTAAATTTAAACCATAAAAAAAAAATTTGACTCACTAATCTATACAACGCTATTGTGAGCCAAAGGAAAAGGCCAAAATCTGGGTCAATGAGTACTTCAAGAAAAATCTGCTCCTTCGTCAAAATTTCCCCACTTAGAACCTAAAGCATTAGCTAGCAAGACTAAGCATAGTGTGAAGACTTAAAACATAGGGAACAAAATACCTGACAGACAACCTCTCCATAGCGTGGATCACAGCTGATCTGACAGTACCACTGTTGTGGTCTAAAAGCTTGATCAAATGCTTGATGGCACCAGCTTCCTTGAATGAAGTCCGCATATGTTCATTGATAGATGAATCAGCAATTGACTCTGCAGCCCTTGACAAGGCAACCTCATCATCAAGCCCAAGAATCAAAACTAATCGAGCCACACCATCCACCCATGGGAGAAGAGTAAGTCGCTGATCAGTGGGGAATTCAGTCTGAGATTTTTTTCCATCATTCAATTCAATAGCCCCTATACGAGCAAGAAACTGTTGCTGTGTCCGTCCAACTATCGCATTCATTTTAGCTTCCTCAATGTCAACATTCTTGTCAACATTTAACCCAAGAAGCAATTCAGAGGCACCAAACCTGGAAGGACCTTTTGAAGTCTGCTCAATCTCTGTACCATCTGGCATAGTAGGCCATGAATATAGTTGTGGCCTGAAAGACTTGTATGCATCAGCACCAACCATGGGCACAGGAACCAGACCTTCCTCTATGACAAGAATTCTATAATAAGGGTCCTTAGCAAGTTCCAACAATGCATTTCTAGCTTCCTTCAAAATCACTTTAGATCCTTCCACATCAATTTTTAAGAGCTTTGCCTGCATTTTAAATAAGAACATTTCAAGAGTCCCATCGAAATTTAGTTTCACTATTGTTAAATTTTCAGGTCATTCCAATCACAATCATGCAGTACTGCCTTCCATGCCCTAAAATGAGTCAATAACAATGGACCCAGCTCGTCTCTTGGTGATTCTCAAGCATAATCTACTAGTAAAATTGAATTTGATGAGCTTGATAAAGACCAGTCAAATATATTGAAATTCAAAGGTTAAAACTTGGTATAAGGCACAGTGCATGTAAGGCAAGAAGATATATAAGTCAACGTGAACATAGCCACAAGATAGCAAACAAAATAAGTTCCCTAGTGAAGGCATCATATATATAAACAATATCTTAGTAGACCATTTAGATTGACGATTTTGACATGCTACTCACTTCATTTTGATTTTAGTAACCATGGTAAAGCTTTAAAAACAATAGATGAGAAGAGGACGCACCAGAATGAACAAGTTTTTAAACACATCATGGGGTTATTATGTTAAATAAACTTTCTGCATAATGAGGGTAGGCCAGAAACCATCATATTCTTTCCTCTGCCTTCTCAGTCAGAATAAAAGAAATCGGGTCAACCCATCAATAAGAAAGCAAGACTCAATGAAGTGCCCCAAATCCGTTCATGAGGAGAGAGAGCACTTCGTTCAAGGAAACAATTGCTCTTCAATAATTAAAGTAAGTCACTAGATTTCAGTTACCATTTTAGCATCTAACCAGAAACGCATTCAGTCACTTCATTAGAAAACAACCATTGCCAATTCGGCAAAGAGAACACAGATCCTCACCAGTTTTGGGATGACACCAGCTTCAACCAGTATCTTGTGATTACAATTGCTCAAGGCCAAATTTGCCAAAACTCCACCAGCTGCTTCCTTCACTTTTATGTCATTATCATCTAGACAATTGATTAGCAATGGTAGGATATCTATATTTGCAATTTTCACTCGGAGTTTCTGATCCACAGACAAGTTCCACAAAGCACACATACTTTGCTCCTTAACCTGAAAAAGTGAGTTCATAATATATCTCAAATTTCTACAAACAAGATAAATATGGTGAAAATTTTCAAAGGTAAAATACCTCCTCTGTACCTCAGAAGTCAAGGAAGGTCGACTCAGCAAACCAGTTATCTCTTCTATTGCTCCACTTTCTGCTACTAAACCTCTGTATAAATTGATTGAAGATATCGATCGTAGAAGACCAGCAGCTGCTTCACATGTAGCACTAGATTCAGAGCTAAGAAGGTTTACAGTTAAGTTTACGCAACCCTGAAACTGCATAATGGCATCAATGCACTTCTTTCCACCTAGTGAATATTTCCATAGTGCCATTACTGCCTGTTCTCGGTCAAGAGGATCATGGTCCAGCCCAAGCATCCGTACAAATAGGGCCACATAGTTGTCACCTAAAGTAGAAGAACTACTGTTTATTTCTTCAGCATCCTGAAATTAGCATAACAATCTGTGTCATTCTGTAGTCCGCACCTTAGATTAATAGACATTTCTTATAAGATACAAAAAAAAAAGGAATGAAAGAAAGGGAAGTTAGGGTGGGTGGGGACCTCAAGGGCAAGAATAAAATAATAATTGTAATTGTAAGTACATACCAAAATTAAAGGAAAAACAGACCAAAAATAACCATGTTATATTTTTTCGGATCATTAAATGCGTCAAGCTTAAACATATAAATAAGAAGTTGGAGGCTTAACCGGACAGGTCTAAAGGCCAAGCTCAGGGGGATTAACAATTAAAGTCTCCCCTGACTGCCCACCAGGGAGATTATAACATTTAATCTGTTCTGCATAGAGCATAGACTCCTTATTGCACCTTTCCAATGTTGAATCCTCCCCTCTCGATTCAAAAAGTGCTTAAAAAACCTACAAACCTTTAATGTATAGCATTTTATCAAGCTCATTGTTCGGACTGCTTGATAACCAAAATTTGACTTCCATTCTTCGGTACAATTTTGGCAAAAGCTCCTTACACCCCTTTTTCTGTAACAGCTCTATGATACATTCTGCGGATATGGTTTAAAGAGGGAACAGTGACGCATTATTATCCATATAGCCGAACCCTAATGGGGGTAAAAGGCTTCCTATTTGTTGTCATTGTAGCTCTGTGGTACATTCTATCAAACAATAAATTTCCAATTTTTTGTCCTGAACCAAAACAGTATTCCTACCAATATCTGGTCTAATTCCCAAATTCGTGTTCCGATGAATGCGATATTAACAAGTTTCAGACGCACACTTCATTTGCGCAATCATTCACATTCTGAAACCATAAAGTTTCTACTTTCTAATTGAGAAACATCTTTCTTTCCATTAATATAAAACACAAAAAAAAAAAAGGGAGAGAAAGAACAACTAACAGAAAAAACAAACTCTCAAATCAAATTATGAGGACCCAGATGAGAAACAAAGAAGTTTAGACTTTGAAACTTACAGAAACTGCAGCAGGCTCCTGCGGAGTGGCATCAACCATACCACCATCACCACTGACTTTGCTGAGGACCGTACGGACGGAACACGAGTTGGGTTTGAAGAAACTGCTCCAAAGATGATGGTAATGATGCAAATGACGAAACTTTGCTGAAAAGGAAGAGTTTTTTCTTCTGGGTTTTACTGACATAGCTTCCAGGCTGCTGGAGGGTGTAAATGCTTGTTGGGGATTAGGCAGCTTGATGTTAAAGCGAGTGGAGAGAGTTGAGGCAATCATTTTTGGCCAAAAACAGTGGGATTGAAAAGCAGGGTTTTGCGTGTGGGTTTTTCAGATTTTTCTCCTTGTACTCAGAACTTCGGAGCTCGGCAGTGCCTTTGTTCACTGGCTGGATAATTGGAATGTACTGGAATTTTTGGCGACTGGATATTTAAGCTTCTTTTCCTCTCTTTCCTTTCTATTTTTTCACTGGTACCGTTTTTTTGCCCCAAAACAAATACCAAATTTTTAGGTGCATGAAATGATGAAAATAAAGAATTTGTTTCTAATAACTAATAATTGCAAAACTGATGAGTCAAAATACCTAAATATAGTAAACACAAAATATAGGAAACTTATAGGCGCATGTTAAGCGATAGTTGCTATCTTGCACGGTATGGAGTCAAAATGCTTTGTTTTCACTGTGGCAAATTTGGACATATTATATAGGTTTGTCCTGTGAAACAAAAAATGAACGAAGGATTATCTGAAAAGCAAGCACGGAAGGTGGATGATTCAAACAAGAACCTTGTGAAGGATTTTGATATCTCTAGATTTGGTTCATGGATTATAGCTAAAAATAGTTATAAGAAGAATGCTGTTGATAGAATGGAGAGAGGAGCAAACTAATCATGAAGAGATTACTAAAGTAACCCAAAATTAGGCTCGAGATTCTATTTGTTAAAAGAAGCCGACGAAGGTCATGATGAAAAGGAAGTGATCCGTGAATCTTTAAAGCAAGCACCTCTTGTGTCAAAAGTAGCTAAATCACATACAACAATAACCAGCTCAAAAGATTAAAGAGATATTGAAGCAATCTTTGTAACAATCTACCATTGTTGCAAATAGAGAGCAATGTTCAGCCAAAGCAAAGGGTAAACATGTTTGCTCTTGTGCCATTAACATAGCCTCTTTAGAGAAAATTTTGATGTTGAATAATGCAACCAAGACACAAGACAATACTGGAGCTTTTGATGCCATTGCATTGTCTCATGAATTAATGAATAGAGACATAAGTACAAATAAGTTGACAAATGGAAGCCTTCAAGCACCTAAGTCAAGTATTGAAATTCTTAATACTTTAGCCTGTGAAGGTACTACCAATAGCTTAAGGTGGGAATGAATAGTACTACACATGAAAAAGGGATTGCCTATACAAAAAATGATTTTACGAATGGGATGTCACAAGCTTGGAACTTTAGTTAAGTTTCGTGTGATGCTATAATCTTGTGTTCGTAAAACCAAGCAAGCCTTACCGAGGTTTCTTGAATATTGATGTGAAAACGTAAAGTAAATAAATATAAAGAACGAGATTTGGAAGAATAAATAAATATTATTGCTCCAAAGAGAGAAAACAAAAGATTTAAAATCTAAACTCAGAGTAAATTGCATGATGAAAGAAAAGACCATCTAAGGTGACTATTTATAACCTCTATGCTACTCAGGGTGCAAGCAAAATAAGACAAGAAAATATCTTACCTAAGTTTCCTTAGTGTGCAATAAAAGTAAACATATAGCTAAAGAAATAATATTCCCCTAGCTTGGTAAGCAAGTAACCATAACTTCAACCTAAGAAAATTTGATCCCTATGGAGCTCGTGTGGCTCTTTAAAATCTGCTCTTGTATGGTCTACCTATGGTGCATTGGGGATGGCACACTATTTTGGCAATGGTGCGCAGATGCTCGGAGTTGGCTCAGCAGTGGTGCACTAGCAGTTGGTGCGCAAATGTGCGCATAGCTCATAGATTCACAAAGTGCCCAACCTACAGGTGCACAAGGGCACGCGACAAGCCCTAAAGAGGGTGCCTAAAATTTAAGAGTTGGGCTTGCTTGCATGGCACCTAACAACAACGCTTAGCATTAGGGTTTCCTGGCACACAGCCCATCTATGCGAGTTGCGCGGCCCAATTGTGCAAGACTCACAGCATGCTTGACCCGACTGTGCATGTGGCCCACTTGCTTGCAAAAAACATGTCCACAGCCTACGCATGTGCGAGCCTTACACACCAAATTGGCGTGCCAGGCCCTTTTGGGGGCTAAGCACAAAGTGCCTCGCTATAGCATGCGCATTGGGAACCCCTCGTCTACATGCTAATTCCTTGATCGATTGGGGTTGGACTCACATGTCGTGTCATGAAACATATGGTTGTTCCTTATCAACAACTATGGAAATGGAAGAAAAAGAACATGTTCTCATGCAGGATTAATTTTTGTTGATGGATTGGTTGGATTATTACCAATTGTTCTTATTTATTTTATTATTTTATGACAAATATTTTGAGTTGGAATGTGAGAGGAGCAACCTTTCATAGAAATGTTTGGAATGTAAAGAATATGATCAGAATCCATAAGTTACAATTAGTAATCATCTTGAAGCCAAGATTTCAGATGATAGAGCAATTAAGATATGTCGTTGAATTGGATTTTCAAATTTTTTTAGAGTAGATGCAGATGATTTTTTCAAGGGTATATTGTTGTTGTGGGATAAAGCTTTGCCTACAAGTTGAAATATTGGCATACCCATCACAACTAATCCATGCTATCGTTACTTCATCGAAAGGTAAATGGCTTTTAATGCCGGTTTATGGAAGTCCTATGTTAGGAGAGAGGTAAAGGCTTTGGTAGTCTCTATGCTTAGTTTGAGAACTATATTTTTTGCCTTGGCTGGTGATGAGAGATTTCAACCAAGTTATTTCAACTGATGAAAAGATAAAGAGGCGTAGCGTGAACTTTTCTCAATGCAATTAGATGATTGACTGTTTAAATTATTGTGATCTTTTTTATTTAAGTGCATCTGAACCAAAATACACATGGCGTAAAAAGAGAGATGGCTTGGTGCAAACTAGGGAAAGATTAGATAGAGTAATGGTTAATGAGAATTGGTGTGATTTCTTCCAATATGCTCAGGTATTAAATCTTCTTCAAGCTCACTCTGATCATCATCTTATTTTGGTGTAGTGCCAAACTAGTTCACCATGCAAACAGATAAAAAAGAATTTTAGATTGGAAAAGGCTTAGCTGTCTTATCCAGGCTTTTATGAATTTGTGAGAGATAATTAGAATTTCAAAGATGACAATCTTACTTTGACATTGAAGAAATTAGCGGAAGCTTGGGAATATGGAAATATGAGTCCTTTGGTGATTTATCATAAAGGAAAATAAGATTACTGGTGAGACTTCAAGGAGTCCAACGGCACTTTGACAAAGGATCGAATAATTATCTTCAAAATCTGAGGTTGGATTTACTTGAAAAATACAATTAAGTTCTTTGTCAAGAAGAGGTTATGTGGCAACAAAGGGCCAAAATTGACTGGTTGAAGTATGGTGACACTAATTCTAAATTCTATCATGCAATAGTTAAAGGGAGGTAGTATAGAAAAAAGATTGCAACTCTTAGCGAGATGAAGAGACATGGTGCTATTACCAAGCCGAACTAGAGAGCCTAGTCCTACAATTTTATAAGAGACTATATGCGGATGGAGTAAAGATTTCTTTGTCGAAGAGCTCGTGCTGAAGGCTAAAAAATACTGATGTTAATGACATTTTAAAGCCTGTTTTTTTGTTTTAGATGTTAAAAAGGTCACCTTTGATATGAACATGAAAAAGAGTCCAAGTTACAATGGAGCCGACTTTTATCAAAGAAATTGGGAGAGTGTTGGTCAGGATCTTGTGAAGTTTGTATAAGAGGCATGGAATCAAGGTACTTTTCCCTCAAATTTAAATCATACTTTAATTACTCTTATCCTAAAAGTTCAATTGCTTGAGAGAATTGTATAATATTGTCCAATTAGTCTTTGCATAGTACCACTTAAAATTATAAATAAGATACTTGTTGATAAATTGCGACCATTACTTACCAAAATTATTGGTAAGACACAAAGTAGTTTTATACTAGGAAGACAAACGATGAATCATATTATTATTGTCTAAGAAGCAATCCATACTATGAGAATGAAGGAAAGAAAGCAATGGGCTTTGGCTATAAAGATTGATTCGGAGAAGGCCTATAATTGATTGAAATGGCATTTTGTACAATAGATGCTAGAAGAAATTGGGCTACCATTTTCTTGGGTAAATTTGATTATCTACATTGTAAAGACTCCAACCTTATCTATTATTTGGAATAGTAATTATAGAAAATTTCTTTCCATCTAGAAGACTTAGGCAGGAATACCCCATCTCTCTTTACTTATTTATGATTTGCTTGCAAAAACTCTCACATGTGATAAAAGACTTTATGTGACAAAGGCAATGGAAACCATGCAGTTTTACAAGACATAGTCCTAGTCTTTCTCATGTGTGCTTTGTTGATGATTTGATGCTTTTTGGTGTAGCTATCGAAAGTCAAGTCAAGATTATGATGAACATTCTTGACAAATTTTATAAAGCTTCAAGGCAGAAAGTAAGGCAAGAGAAATCAAAGATGTTGGTTTCCTCTAATATTTGCATTGAAAAAACTAAGCTACTAAGCATGGTAGTCAAAATTCTTCAAACTAAGGATTTTGGTAAATAGCTCGGGGCCCTTATGATTCATGGTAGAGTTTCTAGGTTAACTTACTTGGAATTGGTGAACAAAGTGAAGTAGAGATTGTCCAAAACGAGCAATTAAAAATTATCATTGGCTAGTCGGGTTGCATTGGTATAATCTGTTTTTAGCTCTATGGCATCTTACTTAATGCAAACTTCTTTTATTCCTGAAAACATTATTCAGGAAATTGATCGACTTAACAGGGATTTTGTTTGGGAACATTTGGAAGGAAATATGACATTCATGCTATAGGTTAGGAAAAAATTTGTTTACCAAAAGATAATGGTGGACTACAAATTAGGGACTCTTGAAGTATAATTTGGCCTTACTTGCTAAACTTAGGTCGAATATTTGGCAAGACAAAGATTGCTTTTAGGTGGAAATTCTAAAGATGAAATATTTAAGAGCAAGAGATTTCAGACAATGCAAGCCAAGTCTGCAAATTCATATGTATGGAGGAGCATTTTAAAGGCCCGTTCAGTGCTAGAGAAAGGTGTTAAGATGAATATCAGTAATGGTCATTTAGCTAAGTTTTAGACAGATGTCTAATTAAGCTATGGACCTTTGATAAACTTTGCCACTATAGAGCTCTTAGATGTAGAGGCATATTTACTTGTTGCTAGTTTTTGTGATGAAAAAGGAGATTGGAATCTTTAACACCTAAAATAGGTATTACCTATTCATATTGTTCACATGATAACTGCTACATTTATAAACCCTTCAAACGAAGACAATGATACAAGAGTTTGGCTTTTGACAAATGATGGTGAATTCTCAATTAAGATAACATATCAAATTCAAATAGGGGTTAATACAAATGTCGAAAATTATTGGAGGAAAATTTGGAAATTTAAAAGCTTAATAAAGGTTTATATGTTTCTCTGGCGTATTATGCATAACTTTCTCCTTACATTTTCCTAGTTAAACAGAAGGATTATGAGCATATCTACTTTATGTCCACATTGTGGAATTTTTTAGCAAACAATTCTACATGCCTTGTGGGATTGTGTCTCATCAAAACATTTATCGCTCTAGATTAAACCTAAACTTGTTAATGGCTAATTCTTTTATTTGAATTTGAAGTACTAGACACTGTGAAACATATTGAATGATGTGTGTTTTTTTAGAGTGTTTCATGGAGTTCAATTTTTGTGCATACAATATGGTTCATATGGTTTTGGCGTAACTCGACTATTTATGATAAATATTTTGTACAGCCAAACAATCAATGGAAATAGGTTTAGAAAAAGGCTAAGGAGTCATGGGATAATATGGGCCGAGAATAACGAAGACTCAAGCAGGAGGTGTTGATTGCATGGAAAATACCATGGCCATCATATGTTAAACTTAATGTAGATGGTAGCGTGTGGGACCAACCTAGGGGAGCAACAGGTGGAGGTGTAATCCATGATGATAAAGGTAGCTAGATTGCTGGCTTTATATACAAAGTTGGAGTTTCTTTTTCGTTAACAGCCAAGTTGTGGCACTCTATTAGGGCTTAACACTTTGTTAGGATAAAGGCTTCAAAAAGGTACAAGTAAAGATTGACTCTTTGATAACTCTTCAAAAATTATGTAAACAAAGTAATGCACTAGATCCCCATGCGCATCTTTTGAGCAACATCAACAAGCTGTTTCAACGGAATCGAGAATGTCTATTATCTCACATGTATCATGAAGCAAACTAATGTACCGATTGGATGGCCACCCACAATGATAATTTATCTTTAGGGCTACATGTATTTGAGTCCCCCCTTACTCGCATAGTTTCTTTGTTACTAGCAAATATTTTGAGCATTGCCTGGTGTCACGAACTATGCTCCTTCGCTTAAGTGTGCGATAGTCCGTGCAACGCTTTAATGAATGTTTCCACGCAAGCTAGCCAATAACTCATTTTTATATGATCAAATATCAACAATAGCAACAAATTAGATTAAGGTAACGCACATTGCAATCATATGGCATACTGCATGTCATATATGCAATCATTGGAACCAAATAAGAGAAAATGTTTTATTAATATGAAAATAAGTACAAAAAAGATCAAAACATGTCATCGTCGGGCCATAAGGGCAACCCTAGATGATTTGCCGACTACTCACTCTCTGTAAAGAGTTTACGAGATTTTACAAGTTTTCTACCAATAACCATTACAATGCTTAAAATAAAGACATTCTTTTCTTGTAGGATCTTTCCCATTAAAGACTTAACAAGTATTTCTAGAGTTGTCACAACGAGCCATTACAATGTATGAAAGAGAGACATTTCCCTCATAAATACAAAAAACTCAATCTCCTACACAACTCTAGCTTGGTATAATACAAGACAAGATTGGCTCATAACACCTAGCTTAGACTGATGTAGTTTAAATTTATTTTGATCATTTTTATCAAAATAATATACCTAAATACTCTATGTTCTATTTATTCCTAAATTTTATATGTAAAATATTTTAAATGATAAAAATATGGGTTGACATTAAGGTCACTAAAATTAATAAATCAATTTTTGTCTAGTGTTTCTCCTATTTTTTTAAAAAAAAGATAATTAATAATTAATATTCATAAAAAGAATAAAGAAAATATATGACTAATTGATTAATGGTTTGAAGCAAACAGGAATCTTATTCTTTTACTATTCATGAAGTTCTATTGTTTTTTTATATATGCAAGCATGGGGCTTGCTTTAAAGTCAAGCTAGCAAAGCAAGGGTACAGGACTCATATTTTCATAGGTTTCATAATTTTATAATAATATAATTATTTATATTAAAATATGTAAAAATTAAAACAATTAATAAAATATTTATTTATTTTCCTATGTCTAATAAATATTTATTTTCTCTCACTTATCACGTTTTATTAATTTTCAACTATTTATCTCATTTCTCATTAAAAATATGTAAAAGGCAAGATAATAAATAAAATGACATATTCTTTCAATTCTCTAATTATGTGCTTAAGAAATTTTAATTTATTATGACTTTCCAATTCTTACAATGCTATTAATTTTTAATTATTTATCTTATTTTCAATCAACTAACAATAACATATATTTAATAATCTCCAACAATTATTTTTTTCTATACATAAAATCATTTTTTTTTCAATTTATAATATTCAATTATGAATTTTTTCCTCATTTACTCTTTCTTCCTTAACTTTAATAAAAAAAAAAGACCTTATTTATTTAATTTCAATAAAAAAGACTTTATTTAGATATTCAATTTAGGCTTTTAAAGGTATTAAACCGTCTCTAGCAAGCATTGTTTAATAAAAGTTTGTGTGCTTAGCACTTTGTAGAAGGATTTTTCTATGATAGGAGTAACTATGCAATTAAGTCAAGCAAGATGTATTAGAAACAAAAGAGAAAGAGATTAAAGCTGTCTTTGAAATGTTAAGTACTTGTTGAAAGAGTTGATGGATCAAATTTGGGGAATGTGAGCCGCGAACCAAGCTTAGAGAATAAAGTGGATATAGTTGAAAACAAGAGAAAATATTTGAAAAGAGTTTTGAGAGAGCCTAAAAGAGTATCTTAAAATCGAAGTCGGTTAAGTTTATATCTTTAATTAATTGTTAATGCTCTTATATATAGACCATGTAGCAATGATTACTCAAGAATAATTACCTAAAGAGTGATTAATGGACATCAAGGTAGGAACACATTCATCATAAGAATAGCACATTAAGCCACTATGTATTCTAAGTAATGGGCGGATATTTCACTCTAATGATTTGACACTTAGCAATGTGTCACATGTTTCTTGAAAAGAAAAAATATTTGTATTTCAAGAAAATATCAAGAGAGGATCTCTTAATTATTTTCATATTTAAGTCATCAAGTTAAATTCTCTAAACTATTCCAAGCGTAAAACAAATTAGAAAACTTGCCACTTGTTTAGGATTCATTTCACTATTATCCACGTGATATAGGTGTTTTATTCGTTTTAATTGTTCTTCTTGTTCTTTATATAACATTATATTCACTATAAAACAACTCTTAGAGATATAATAAATTAGTAACCAAAATCAAACATTTACTAATTTTTACGATTTGCTTTTTGATTTCTAGAAGTAGAAAAAGAAAAAAAAAGTGCTTATATAAAATTTGTAAATTTTTTAAAATGACAAAATACATAATTCAACTTTTATATGAACTAATTATGTTATTATTAATGCAAGTATATTTTAATTATTTATTCATTTTTAATCAATTATGATATGAGCTATAATTGATTAATTTTTACTTTCTAGCAAATCTTTGAAAATTTAAAAATAAATAGTACAAGCATCATTATATCAAGGTTAAATGCTCAAATTGGGGTTAAACGTTTAGGCACCTTTTCAATTAAGGGCCAAACGTTTTCTTTAACAATCAAAGATCAAATATTTTTTATTCTTTATAATTAAGGGTTATGTTGACAGGTGGATGAAACGTGTATCACACGCGATAAAAAATCACATGAACTAATGACATGGCATGTTGGGCAATGCCATTATTACTTTTTGTGAAAAAAAAATGTTATTAACATCATGTTGAAAAATATGGTATTACACATTATGTTTTAAAATTTAATTATTACACGTCATGTGAGATATAATTGTTACATACTATGTTAAAAATATAGCTGTTATACGATATGTTGAAAATTTAATTATTACACATCATATTGAAAAATGTAATTGTTATATGTCATGTTGAGAATATAATTATTATACGTGATGTTGAAGATTTAGTTGTTACACGTTATGTTAAAATTTAGTTGTTAGATATAGTTGTTGCAGGCCATAATAAAAAAAGTTATTATATATCACGTCATAATTTAAACTATTTTGACTTAACAGCAAAGACTTTTTAACAAAAATATCTTTTTGTATCTTCCATAACAAGTTAGCGTTCACATCGTGCGCATGTCTTGCACATGTCAGACACCTCTCATCTTAACCCTTAATTGTAAAAAACTAAAATAATTTAACTCTTAATTATTATAATTAAAATGTTTAATTTTAAATTGATAAAAACTTAAAAATTTAGACCCCAAAGTGAGCATTTAGTATTATATCAATTAAAAACTTGTTTATAGAAACAAAATACAACAAAACCTAGAGGGTCAAAGAGTGGGATGTTAAAATTTGTGTGGTGCTCTCGACGCAATTATATAATACGTGGCAGCAGCCAAAAATATTTGCGGACGGATATAGTTTGAGAATTCCAATATTCCCAATTCTGGGAAAGTCCATGCATTCTCTGCCATGAAACTCTCAACTCAAAGCGATAAGAAATAAACAACAATTATAGAGTTATAGTAGTGCTCCAAGATGAGTAGATCTTTCACCTTCCAAATCCCCAAGGCTTTGCCTTCCATTTCTCATTCGCCTTCTCACTGCACAAGATTCCCTTTCGACAATATTACATCTAAACACAAACCAATCCACCATTCCAAGCTTAATGATAAGGTAAACATCCTTTCATTTTCTTTAACATTTTGTTTTTACTTCAGACATTTCTCAATCAATCATGCCTTTTCCCAGAAACTCAGTGTTGCAAGCATCAACATAAAAACAAATGATTTCTTTGATACAAGGAAGACCAGCTTGGCCATTCAAGTTGCTGCCCTTCTTGCCACGGTAAGACATTAATCTTTTTCTCTATGTCTGTTCGAGTCTATAGTTATTTAACCTTGAGATATATATATACATATATATATATATATGTTAATGAAGATTTTTCTACCAGTTTGAGCAGCCAGCATTAGCTGTTACAGGGGTAAATAGCGAGCCAGATCTTATTAGTGTTATAATTCAACTAGGAGTTGTTGCTTTTTGGTACTTCCTTATCATGCCAGTGAGTACTGCCGTTCCCTCTCTCCGAATTGAACAGTTTTTTTGGTATTCACTTTGCTTTGTAAATATTGTTTTCTTATGATTATGGTTTGATGAATGGCAGCCAATCATCATGAACTGGCTCAGGATAAGATGGTACAGGAGAAACCTCTTGGAGATGTATTTGCAGTTCATGTGTGTCTTCTTGTTCTTTCCGGGGTGAGTCTGGACATTCTCTTCACTTTTGTCCTTTTGGGCAAGATGTCCAAAGCTAAAATGTTTATTTGGTTGCCGCCTACATTTCATTTCTATATTTTCTACTAATATTCATTATACATACTTGGTAGAAAATCTCAATATATGTATTTAGATTATAGATCTTTATATATATGTGTGTGTATATATATATATGTATATGTATGTGTACATCCGCATATGTTAGAAAAAGAGTTTTAGACCTCAAAGTCTGGTCCCTCACTGATGTCTGGCATAGAAGTAAGTGTTATACTTGAGAGCTTAAACTATTCTAATATTTCATTAGCAAGTTTAATTGTTTCAAAAGATCAGAGTTTTAAGACCAAATATTTTCTAATTAGAATCTATCTTAGGCATGCTAGGTTGAGGAAATGTTGATGTTTTCATTGGTTTCATCTTGCCTTCCCCTTCCTGCGTGCAGAGTATTGCTTTGGGCGCCATTTCTGAACTTCAGGAAATTCCCTCGGGATCCATCCTTGAAGTATCCTTGGGATACACCTAGAGATCCTTCACAAGTTAAAAATGCGTATCTCAAATACCCCTTTGCCAAGCCTGAAGAATATGATGGGTAAATTGATGAAATATTTACCAATATTCAGAACCCTGGGGTTCTTGCTTGTATCCTAAAGCTTCCCGCAGATTTAATACTACATTAGTTTGAACGTTGACGAGCACCGATTTGTCAATGATAGCAATTCCATACATGGCACCACCTTTTCCCTTCGAAAGAGGATTGCAGACAAAAATACAAGGATAAGCAACTGAAGAAACTTCATTTGTCAAAGCATTCTAATAATGGTTTCCACCATGCAGATTGATCCTCAAATTATTGGAATCTACAAAAGTCATGAGAATAAATTACTCGAAATACATGTAAATATAGTAAACCCAACTCATTCAATGATTTTCCTCAACCTTGGGCTTGGCTTCTTCAAGACGACTGCCTGTATTCTGATCCTATTCTCCCTAAATGCCATATTAAAAAACATCTTTTCCTGTTTTTTTTTTTCCTTTCCAGTTGGAAACTCTAGATCAAAAACTCTTTTAACTGAGGAAAGAAAGTATCTAAAAGACAAAGCTCTAGACGGGAAGATTGTTAAGAGCTGAAAACTACAGACAGTTTGTTCCAGTCCCAGGCATCCATGTTGGGAGAAACGACAGTCGCACCTACAGCAAATGCAACAACAACAAAGGCCAGAGTTTTCATGCACCCATGGCCTCGTGATAGCTTTCCAGATATATGCTTACAGTACTTCTCTGCATCCTGAAACAGTGCCTGTCTAGAGGCATCTGCTCCACCAGCCGTTGCTTTCTCATTCTGAAAATGGCCAAAAAGAAAATGATAATCAGGTCACTTCCTAAGTGACTTGAAACATTTGCCTACCATATGACCTGGCAAATCCACTAATAAGTTTGTTATAAAAAATGATATCATAACAAGGATTTCTGCCAAGAAATGAGATGGATGGTTGGCATAAAAATCATATGGCATTAGTTTATTCTTAGCACAGTAAGTACCTTGTTCCTAGAACTCTTGATGGTTTCCCTCAAAGCATCAAGAGTAGTAAATTTTGAAGAGTGTTGATTCCATTCCTCTGAAAGTTTTTTAAGAACAGCAACACTAGCTTCTAGATTTTCAAGATACACCTTGTCCTGTTCACACCAAGCAAAAGATAAGAATAAATCAGTAAGAAGCCAATCAGAAAAACTAAAAAGATTCCTCCTCCTCCATAAAAGTGTTCATTGAAAACTAAAATAGCTCACCCACTGCCTGTAGCAGTCAGCATTCTGGTTCAAACACCATATGACTATTCCAGCTGCTTCTTTGGATAACTCAGGAGAGCCTGTTCAAGAAAGATAAAGCACAAACTTTGATGTCAAGACTACCATTAGAAGAAAGCAGAAGAAGGAATGGGGCAGGAAGGAGGAGGAAGAGAACTGCAAAGAAGAAAAGTTTTCAAATACAAGACAGACATACTTTCTCCTGCTGCTTTGATAGCAAAGTCGAATATCTGCTGAGATGCTTGTCTCATTGCTTTGCTTCCATGAGAACCAGCAAGAGCCACTTCCTTCAGTGTGGGATATACGGCCTCAAACCTTTCAGTAGCCTGCAGGGATAACATAATTTAAAATAAAGTAAAAAACTATAACTATTTAGATCTAAGTGCAGACACAGAAAATGCACAGGCTCAAACTCTAAACCTACCTTTACTCTAGCTGAAGATGCAGGGAAGGTAACTCGCATTAGTATCTCAAATGAAGATGGTCGCACCAAACGTTCCCCTTTTCTAACAGCACCATTTACTAAAACTGACCGTGCTTTTGAGGCAGATAAGATCCTTCACCAAGAAGGAAAAAATTCAATGAGCCTTATGAGTTTCAAACTCAAGAAGAAGATTAAAAAATGGATCAGAAAGGAAAAAGGCAAAGACTATAGAAGCTCTAATACCATTCCACTATCTGTAAAATTAGATCCCTGGACTGTGGATTACAGTTTTTTCCACCAACTACAGGCAAAAGGTGATGTGCCCACAAGTACATCCCCACAGCAAGATCTCCTTGGGAGGCCTAGACAATACAATGTTGACTTTGAGTTTAGAAGCTTATCAGTGCAAAGAGTAACAGATTGTAAACTGCCTTAAAAATTCATACATAAGTTAGACTGATGTTTTGCCGTTCGCTTACCTGAATTATCATCCATACAAAGACAGGGAGCTTATCTTGTCCTAGATATTTTGAATTTTCTCTCAGCTTCGGTAATACACTAATTAACGCATCAGGTTTACGCCGCAATACCATTGCTAATGCCACAAATATTCCAACCTGCATAACATGTTTCTACATCAAACCGAATTTGAGGCAGCTAACCTTTTTTTTTTTTTTGCCAAAAGTTTGAGGTAAATACTTTTTCTATTACAAAACTATACATGATAAAAGGAAAGCCTCTGTTTGAACACATGCAAATGAAAAGCAAAAATGGAAAAGGAAGAACAGTTTCGCAAGTTCATTGAATGAAATGAGATTGAAGCTACTGTAGTTAATAAAAGCAACTGTCAAAGCAGAAATTATTTAACTCCCAGACCTACCATATAACACAACATTCAAAAATCATAGATACTCAATGCTGCTTAGCTTGCACATCAGTAACAGAAACTTCCCATCCAAAATATTATGACAAATTAGCAAGAAAATAAACCTGTACTCGACAAATTGTGGAACAAGAAGACCAAAGTCTTCACAAGTATTACCACATTCACATCAGCTCATGCCTTAACTTCTCCATGGACATATGTTACAACAACTCGCAGGGGATTATATATGTTCTAAAGGATATCTGCTTGTATGGATTGATCAAACTTGTGTTAAAAGAATCAATAGCTTTCACCTACACAAATTAAATCCTAACCTGGGTATATTATTAAAATAAATGAAAAGAAGTGATTTCATGGGAATGTGAAACCAACAAATGACAACTAAAGGCAGATTGAAATTAGTATGGAAAATAATTGTTACCTCTGAGGTTTAAGTGAAAAATACAGTTAGCCTTCATTAGTTCGAAAAACACTCTATCCACCCCCAAAAAGTAACAAAAGTTAATATTCTGTTACTCAACCTAATGTTTGGTCAAAATTAACTTTAAATACATAAGAGCAAAGACACCCTCATTTTTTTCCTTTGTTCTCCGTTTTTTGTCCTTTTTCAATTTTTTTCTCTACTTTTTTTTAATCAACTTCTTTGTCACCAAGCCTTTTTTTTGCCAATTTGATAGGAATTAAGATGATTTATTTTAAGAAAAAGACAATTTGATATATTCATCTCAAAAGTCATACATAATTGAATTAAAGATAATATAATATATTTAACATAAATTTGTAATATTAGCTCAATTAAAATTTAAGTTTATAGTAATTAAAGATGATTTTACAACTGGTTAATTTGATAATGTTATTTATAACTAACTAAATCTTAAAATTTTGTAATTAAAAAAAAAAAACTTATGCAAAAGAAAGAACAAAAGAAAACAAATTAAATAACAAAGGGTGTACTTGTCTTTTCATTCAAAATTAGCTTGTAATTAATCCATTACCTTTTTAGAGGGGCCAAGGGGGGTTTTCCAAACTAACAAGGGGTTTGTATTTTAGCCAAATTACTATAGCACAACAGCATTATCCAGCAGAAAGATGCACAACACGTAAACAACAGCACACATCTGATATCTAAAAGCAAATAACCAATATCGACTCAACAGAATCAAACATCAAAATAATGGATGACAAGCAAAAGATAGGAACCAATTTAATAGCAAAACCACAAATGATGTTACCTTAGACTTTGATGATGTTTGTTGCACACCTTTTTTGGAACCCTTCGCACTTACTTGCTGGGCCACCAAGTCCTCAAGAATGATGTCTAAAGACCATAATACAAAGAAACCAAGTGCCTCAAGGGATCGTTGGCTTATCCAATCGGCTGATGTCTTATTAACAGCATCAGAAATATGCAAAAGAGGTATCTGCCAAATGACCAATTAACTAATTTAGCAAGAGAAATTCTAAAAAGCTTTTTTAAGAAGAGTAAGCATGATTACAACCACAGCTAAGATATCACAAAGATAGACCTGAATATAACAGATAGAAGCAATCATGAGAGCATATGATAACAGTTTGCTATAACCGTTAAGAAGTTCAATATCATCCTCAGAATAATGATATTTGATATAAGCACTTAAAAGGAAATATCTAAACGGTACTTAGGTAACATTTATGCACCTCTTCATGCAAACCGATCTCCACGAAACAAACTTGTTATTCATTTATTACACCAATTTAATAACCATTTATGAAATCATTTGCTCTCAAAGTATAGATACATTATAAACTAATTCAATGTTTGTAAGCTGTAATGCTAAATAATTCCTTGAACTTTTTTATATCATCAGCATATGAACCCAAGACCTATCTCAAGCTGCTGATTTTGGATCCTTTTAATACCATTGTATGGATTTATAATACATGAAAATATGGTAAACCAATAACCGAGAAAAGCATTTGACTGCCTCCTTGGAAAACATTGAAAGCCACAATAAATCCACATGATGTTGCAAAATCCTACTCACTCCCTTCCATGCAAATCAATTTAATAGTTTGATATAATCAAGCTTTTCCAAGTGTAGGATAAGTTTAAATTTGAAACTAATATGCCAACAAAATTGTGATGGTGCAATGAAAAAGCACCAGTCAGTTCCAATCTTTTATAATCATGCAAACAAAATTTAAAAAATCCCAATCACATTTCCTAGCAAAATCATGAACTTTTAACACAGTTATCCAGTCAATCCATAAATCAAGCTTCGGTGAAAGTTTTGAACTTTAACGTTCAAACTTGCAAGAAATTTCTTTCAATGAAATAATACGTCAAAAGTTCCTTTCTAACACCGATCCAGCTCAAAAATACAAACTGCCAATTGCGATAAAATCAATGATGTTAAAACAAAATAAATATGAACTCACATCAGCAAGCTTGATAACGGTACTCTCCCTAAACATCTTCATCCAAGGAAACTGCCCCGCTACCACTTCCCGGAATGCCTTCCCAAAATAATTCGCAAACTTCTGCATTTGAATTTCCTGCTGTTCCTCATTCAATCCCTGATTCCCCAAGCCAATATATAATTAAATAATCAATCAATTTAATTTAAAACCAAAAAAAAAACCAAAATTTATCATTTTCCAGTGCTTACAGCGAGATATGCCAAGAGATCGGCGGGATCGATTTTTGCGGCGGCCTCTGCAACCGAAACCTTAGGCTTCTTCGGCTTCTTTTGCTTCACCTTCTTTTCCTCCTCTGCCGGCTTTCCGTTAGGTTTAATGCCTTCCAGATCACTGTCTTCGTCGTTGTCGTCGTCGTCATCGAGGCCCGATCTGTTATGTTTAGCCTTCGCATTGTCGTTAAGGGCAGCAGCTCTTTGAGCTTCGAGGGTCCGCCGGCGGCGATCTTCCGAATGTTGCTCGACGGAACGGAAAACGTTAGGGGCGCCGTTAGTTAGGGATCCATTAGGGCGGGTAAGGTTAGGCTTTTCGGGATCGGCGTTGGGCTTGGTCTTGCGTTGTCGTTTGGGATATGATACCTTTTGCCAGCCATGGTCATTGTGGTTGGCGGTGGTGGTTTCGTGGGCTTCATGGAGATCGACGGACTCCATAATTGGAAACGCTCGACAGAGAGAGAGAGCGAGAGAGAGAGAGAGAGAGACAGAGTGTAAATACCAACAATAAATAAATACTATGAAGGGATTGGATTATGAGGAATTAAGCAGCGCAAAGCGCGTAAATTTCTTCGCTGATTTTGGATGCGGACAAAATTTCGTTTTTGGTAAAATATGTTCTCCTGTTTAAGTCCGACCCTAAATTGGAAATCAACTCCCAAGGTGAAGCTCCTCCCTCTGACTCCTAGTACGGCTATTTGTTTTATTTTACAGCAGTATCTTTTTTAATTTTCCCAAGCAACAGTAAAATTTAAACACAAATAAAACACTTGATATATTAAAAAAATAGGGAAAGAAAAAAAAAATTAAAATCCAAATCTTTACTTTCGCGTTCAAATGCTACAACGTAACCTTAAGTTTTGGATTCTCCTTGATTATACAGTTTCAAGGTGGGATAGGAAGAGGTTTTGCAAGCTAATTACTTCATAACGATAGTTGTTTGCCAATTTAGTACAAAGCTTGGTAAGAATGAGCAATCGATCGATTTTCTATCATAACTAATAAATTAAATATTTTTAAAAAAAATTAATCAAATTTAAAAAAAATAAATTGATCAAATATTGAATTGATTTATTCAATTTAATTTTACATCAAAAAATTAAAATTTTATCTTTTATAAATTACAATATTAAAATTTATAAATTTCATTTATAATTATAAAATATATAAATAATCTAAATATAAAAAAATCATAATATTTGTCTTTTCACTCATGTAATTATATCTTTTTACATAAACCATCAAATTAACTTTTAAGAGTTTTAACATTAAAAATTCAACACAACAAAGATAATAAAATTAACATCCACAAAATAAGATCATCTAAGGTAAGATAATCAACTATTGCACATCATCAATTTAATAATAAATATATATATTATATAAGTTTTAAAAATATATATAATATTATATATAATATTAATTTAATTTTTTATTAATTTGATTTAAAAATTTTAGAATCTATAACCGATCAAATAAATCAATTAGATCAAATTTTTTGAATTAATAGACTCAATGAATCAATAGAATCAAACCATTTTATTCAAATTATGTTCATTTCCATTGAATTAATCATCCGATTTAATTTTACTCACCCTAAAGCTTGGATGCAAAGAATGCAATGTTTGATTTGAACACTTTGAAAGCTCTTGATTGCTTAAGGATTGATTTGATGCATTTACAGACAAGTCTCGAGTGTTCAATTTGTGTTAAAGAAGTTAGGTTACATTAAATGAGGAAAGAGTCGTTGTTTCATAGAGAAGTTCAACCCATTACATCCTATTGAAAGAGCACATCAATCCTTTCATTCTTGGTTGCTCAAAATTGCTTCTTTTCAAGAGAGGAATGATCTCCGGGAATAAATGAGGGACATGGTCATTTAGAGATAAAAGAAATTGTTATCAATTAAAAGAGCATTGGACCTTCCTTAACTTACTAAATGATTTTGAAGTAAAATTTATTCATATTAATGGCAATTGCGACAAGCTATCTTTATCTTTGTAGAGATATCAACGAGTAGGATATTTATTAATTTTGAAGTACTCGAGTTAGAACCTGATTAATAAAGGAGATACTCGAATTCTATAATTATCTCAATATTTTTTAAATTTATTATCTTAACTCGAACCTTAATACATATACATTACCTAATAATTAAATGAATCCATTTAGAAATCCGATTATGTAAAAAAATTATAAAAATATTATTTATGGATACCTAATTATTCAAACCCAAATCTATACCTATATTTATATACAATAATATTTTCATCCCTATTTCATATAATTCATCACGAATTAAATTTTAAAAAAACGCAAATAATAAAATTTAAATTTTAATAGATAAAAATAAATATCTTAAATATCAACTTAAATAACTAAAAAGAAATATCCAAACAACAACTTAACCAACATTTCAAGTTTAATTAATTATATGGGTTTGTCCTTAATTATATGAAATTAAAAAAATAAATATGTTCTAAAATTATTCTAATATCACAGCTTCTTTTTAGATATGTATTTTATAAGTTTTTATAAAGAAAGATATATATTATGATTAATAATTTTATAAGTTATAATTTTTGTAACATTAATACAAAATAGAAAGTAAATATATTTATAGTTCAAGTATATACTGAATATATAATAGTACTTATAGCTTTTGTAAATTAACATAATATATAGAGTATGTATTAAAAGATATTACAGTTAATAAATAATTATAGTTTTATAAATTAATTTAATTAACAATATAAATTTATATTTAATTACATAACATTAAAAGAAAAAACATAACAAATTCAAGTATCGAGTACTTAAAGAATGGTATCAGAATCCTATTCGAACTCGATACGAATAATAAAATTATTATTTAAAATTAATTATAAAATATCTTAATTTTATATAATCGGATCGAATATCCGTAAATACTATGTAATGGAGGACCTATTGCCATCCTTGTTTCTTTGCCAGAATCTGCTCTATCGTAGCAGAATTTGCTGCTTCCATGCTACGATGTCAACTGGCCAAAGCGGAAATTGCCTATGGCAGGCCAGATCTGAACCAATAGCCATCAAATTTTACCAGGTATGTGTAGTCTGATTTTATACTAGTGGTTGGATTATAATTCCCCTTACACTAATTAATCATTAAAATAATTGCATATTTTATATATATATATATATATATATAAAGTTATCACCCCCTTTTTGGCATAAGGGAAAATCGATTGTTAGATGTTATAAATTGGAAAAAAAAGATAAAGAAAAATATCCATCCACGGCAAGTTGGCATCGCACTTTTTTTATTTTAATTTATTACAAACAAGTAAAATTAGGGATACAAATGAATTTAACTATTTGTAAGAGACTTAAATTTTATTGAAATATAATGAATAATCGAGTTTGACTCATTCATTATTTAGTAAGATCAAATTTGACACAATCGTGTAATAAATCAAATTTAGTTCGAATTTTGTAATACTTGATTCATCCGCTTCTAAGTATCAACAAATTTTTGAATTTTTTAATATTTTAGATATATAATAGTTTTTAAATTTTCTTTAGTTTAAATTTGAGTTCCAATTCTTTACTCAAATTGATGATATATCGTTTTGCAGTTTGTACGGAATGGCTCAGTACTGAGAGAAGGCCCACAACCTTGCTTGGGCCATTAAATTTACGGTTTTGACCGGACTTGGGTTAGTGGAAAAAGGCTCATTTCAGAATGGAAAACGATGGTGCTCCATTAAGCAACAAAGCCCATCTGTGTATGTTACCAATTGCACCAAGGTAACAATTGTTATGCTAAATTTGAATTGTTAGAATTTTGATGTAAGCTGAGATTTTCCAAAGACAAAGAAACTAGAAATAAGATAGTTTCAGCTGAAGGAATTTATATACGCAGGCAGACCCATCATGCAATAGGTTAAGTCTGTGAAGAGCAGGCAGGAACAGGAATGATGTAATTAGGCTTCAAGCTGAGTGCTGTTGAAGAAGTTGGAGACAAGGGGGACAACAACAACTGAACAATATATTTTGGGAAGTTCCAATGTGATCATTTATGCTCTCTCACCCACGTGATGCCATGTTTTTTTGAACCTGTAAGCAAGGAAACTTGACTCTCCATCTTTATAATTTAATTCTCGCAGATTAAACCCATGTTATCCACTTGCAAGATCCCATCACTATTTAAACATGGGTGCAATTGGAAGTGTTTTCAGATCATTGCAGAGATGCCTTGCCATGGGTATCACCATGGACTTTGTTTCTGAGTAAAAGCACCATGTGGCTTAGTAGCTCCCCTCCCTATCATTTCTAGGGTGGTGCTTTACCCCTTTTTTTTAATAACAAGACGATTTTTACGCCTCCTCGCCTAAATTATTAAAAGGAAAAGAAAGTAATTGAAAAAATAAATGAGGAAATTGTAAGAATTAAGAGGTCAAGTAAGCCTTTTGGATCAAGTGTAAGGGAGGGTTCAAGAATTTATTGAGATCTGCATTTGAAATCTTGAAACAAGTAAACAGTGGATATGTAAATAGGAAATAATGAGATTTAAAATACATTTTAGACAAAATTATATCAGTTTTTTCTATCGTTTTTATTGATAATGGTAATTGATAAACTACTATAAACTAAACCTCGTGCAAGTTATTTTTTGAAAATAATTTTTCAATAATTATTTCTTGAAAATTTTATGTACATCAAGAGTAGTATTTCTATCTTGAATGTCCATTAAATTTTATATGATATCGAAACAATTTTAATTTAATAGTTGTAGATGCTTCATTTTGATTAACTTATCATTTTTTTGAAAAATTCTTTCACAGAATGGAGAATAACCACATAACAAATATATCAGGTGGAAAGTAGTGAAAATAGCTCGAAACAAATACAGTAAAATCTTAATAAATTAATATTAATAAATTAATAATTTTAATTAAATAATATTTTTGATTGATCCTGACTTGGGATCAATGTGGTAAATTAAATAATTCACTAAATTTATAAGATAATACATTTAAAAAAATACATCGGTCTTATTTGATATATAAATTAATAATCTCCTTATACATCAAAATTATAAATATATATAACTCAATTAGAAGGCTTTTGTAAGATATGACTCAAATGTTACTTTTTTTTTCTTGAAATTACTGTTTCCTTGGACCTCATCTCTAGCTTTCTTAGTACATTACAAAGCTCTAGTATAGTATTCTTGTATTGCAAGAGAAAATTATGCAATATAATTATTACTTTGAGTGCCTCTTTGTGTGAGATAAGCTCCAATACAGAACTATCATATTCAACTTCATTTTCTTTATCATTTCTCTTGATATTCTCAATAATTTATTTATTATTCAACAACTCTGAAGTTACTTTGTTTTCTCCTAGGTAGTTCAAAACGTATTCAACATCCATTGTATCACCATATTTCAACTCTTTGAGTAGAACATGTAATTGTTGAATAACTCTATCATCTAAGTGTTGATTCAAATTCTCTGAAGTCACATTATTCATAGA